TTGAGCAGTGTAGAGTAGCGCTTGTTGTTTGTCATTTTTCCGATCACGAATGCAGACATGGTTTTATGTTTACGCGGCGCGATGCAACGCAACATATAAAAAGAAGACAGTATAAGTCATTACAATCCGTAATTATGTCCCCACTGCATGCAACAAATGCCTCGTTTATAATGGGTTTTAATGTTTTTGTCACGTTGCTACGGTATTCTGACGATTTGTGCTACCCTGTCAGATTTTGCTACCTCCCATTAAAAAAGATGGTAGCATAATTCGATAGCAAAAAGTGCAACCTATCAGATTTTGCTTCCAGCATGATATTAATAAGGTGTGAGGCTTTATTAACATGTACACCTACCCCAACCCTAAACCTACCCTTACAGTAGGATAAATACAGTGTTGGTAGCATAATCTGATAGGTAGCATTATTTGTCAGAACACCGGCCGAACAGGACATCACAGTATGGTAAGGGGCGTAACATTTCCGTCACACTCTTGAGGTATTCGGCCAATCACAACGCACTGGATAGCTGGCCAATAACAGCACACCTCGCTTTTCAGACCGATGAGCTTTGTAAAAATCGACGCGTTTCAGAAAGGCGGAGCATAGAGGAGAAATAATAATGTACAGTATGTGGAAAATAATGTGTTTTTTTAACCTTAAACCGCATAAACACATTTCATTACACCAAATACACAAAATAATGTTCTTTTTAGCAACATCATATGACCCCTTTAAACTAAAAGAAAACATCCCAACAAAATATGCAAGCATTTAATTGATATACTTTTACATAAATTTGTGATAATGCTAATTATTGCTAAATGATAATTAGTGGGATTTAAAAAAAATATTTTTAAATATTTCATTTCTATTTTTATTCAGTTAGCATTTTTAAACCATGAGCCTATTTATATATGGCAAGAATTGTATTATTTATTTATTGTTGTATATTATTCTGCTATTATTTCGACCAAAAGTTCTGACAGTTACCAATCACAAGTTGTTAAGCACGTGAAATCAAAAAGCATACACACTTTCTGTGTGTCCGTATTACTTATAATAGCCTATATGCAAATGTGTTTAATAGCACATATTTAGCACATTTTCTAAACTTAAACGGTGAAGTCTCTATATACAAAAAATGTTTGTCACATTTGTCATAATTAAGGTGCATTTGATCTTTAAAAAAAATGTAATTTCAGAAGTAAAAGAGATAACTTAATGTCACTTTTCCCGTTATTCACAGGGTGGCGCTTTCAGGTAATGGGAGAATCCTCGTGTTGAGCTTCACTACAATGTGTCACACACTCACTCACCGCCTCGGCAGCAGGTGCGGGCGCGCATCACTGTGTGCATCACAGAGGGCATGGAGTTAAAAACCTCCATCAGTCAAACTGCGCTTTGATTCACCGGCCGAAGAGCAGAGCAGCGACATTCTGATCCAGCTCAAACTTGAAGTGTGTTGTGGAGCTAAAGCATGGAGAAAGCGCGCAGCACCCCGAAACTGTACGGATCCCTGGATCAAACGGAGCTCTGCGGAGACACGGGCAAACAAGGTGAGAATGTAACGTATGCATGAAAGACGTTACTTTTGCATTGATTTTGCAGTTCTCTTTAACATCGTCAAGTAGCTTAGAAATGAAGTTATTTATAGTGTCGCTAATTCAGTCCATAGTTACAGAAAGCTACGTGCAACGTACGTGAAGGGTCTATGTGAATAAATTCACTGTTTTTATTGCAACTGACGCGTTTCTATTCATATAAATTGACAAATTTGATGTAATTTTTATAAGTAGGCCTAACTGTTTAAAACAACTATGAAACATACAGTTACTACTTTCACAATTTTCTTACAGTATATTTAGTGAATGTTAAGTGGGT